AGAGTTTGGAAGCTGGACTCCCAAGTCCCGAAGGAGCGATCCAGCAGAACTGGAGCAACGCCTGAAAGTCTTCTTACGATGTTCAAGGGTAACGGCGGGAAAACATGAGGTGGATCACAAGGGGACAAAAAGGCATGGTTTTGGAACGATGAAGCTCAGCAAGTTGTCAAGCAGAAGTCGGCCTGCAAGCGATGGCGAAGGACGCGAGTTCCAGAAGATCTAGCTGCCTACAGAAGTTTGAAGAAACTTACCAAGGCGCTGTAGCGAAGGCAGAGCACACCGAAATGGACGTCCTGTATGAGAAACTCGATGGCCGAGAGGGAGAGAAGTCCGTCTTCCGGTTGGCGAAGACACACCACCGGTCTGTTTAAGACATCGGGGTAGTGAAGTCTGTCAATAACAGCGAGGGAACAAACCTGAGGAAACCTCGTGAGGTCCGGAGTAGGCGGAAGGGATACTTCGACAGGCCCTCAACGAAGAATTCGCCCTTAGGAACAGCCTCATTTAGAAGCAACGGCTGGGTCCATCAATTTCTGGACAGAGGATGAGGTGCATGGAGCAATAGGAAAGATACTCTGGGAAGGCAGTTGGTTCAAGTGAGGTACCGATCGAGGAGGCACTGAAGACGCTCGGACTACACGAGATAAAGTATCTAGCACGATTCCTGAACACAGTGGCTACCAAAGGGAAAATCCCAGGTGCGTGGAGGAGCAATATTGTCGTTGCCATCTCCAAGCAAAAGGGGGACGCGATGGAGTGTTCCATCTACCGGAGGCTAAGGTTGATCGCTCGCACGATGAAACTGTACGAGCGCTTGCTCGACTCAAGATTGAGAGAATTGGTCCCGATCTAACAGGAGCAGTCGGCTTCATGCTTGAAAGGTCCACAACGGATGGTTAGATCTTGGAGAGTAGACCTTGCTACCTAGCCCTCTTCGACCTGGGAAAGACATTCGACTGTCTACCGTGAAAAGTGATCTGGAGGGCGCTAAGAAAGCGAAACGTTCCTGAACACATGACCTCTCTGGTCAAGGACATGTACGTTGGCTTCACGACAACAATCAAATCAAACAACAACACTCACTACGGCCAAACCGGAGCAATATATGACACTGTTGGGGACCACCAGGGATCAGCTCTGAGCGCGTTGCTCTTTCTGCTTACAATGGACGTCTCACAGAAGAACTCATGGATGGACCGCTAAAGACCATCCTCTACGCTGATGACATCGCTCTGATAGCGGAGAGTCAAGAAAAACTCACGGGCAAGCTGGAGAAATGGCAGAAAGTGCTGACGGAAAGCTTGCTCCTGCTGAATGTGAAGAAGATCAAGCTCCTCAGCTCCGAGGAGTGCGCGGAGTCGTTCTTCGACGGTCTCGGGGAAACCATCGAAAGGGTTAAGGGTTTCTAATACCTAGGGAGTGATCTAGCCGCTGATGGTAGCATAGACCAGGCGACCAGGCGTAAAAGCTCAAATAGACGAGGCATGGTTTAAGTGGAGAGGTCCATCGGTGTTCTCCGCGACCGTCTATGCTCCGAGACGTTCAAAAGAAAGGGGTATCGGACAGCAGTAAGGCCCACGATATTCTACGGCAGCGAATGTTTTAACGTGAATAGAAACCATAGAAAAGAGCTCCGCTCAACCGAACCGAGAATGCTCAGGTAGGCCTGCGGTTGGACGACGCTTGATCGAATCAGAAATGAAGACGTCAGGACTGCAAACAGTCCCAGTCCACCAAAATAGGAGAGCAGCGCCTGCGTTGGTTCGGGCATCTACAGGGAAGAGAGAAACAGAATCATCCGATACGAGAGCCAGTTCGAAACTCAGCGTAAGTGACAACGAGGAGCTCCAAAGAAGATATGGCGGGAAGTGATCAAGAAGGACCACGCCGAAGCTCAAGTAAGGGCTAAAAATGCCGTAGATAAAAAGAACTGGAGACGGCTGACAAGAACAGCCGTCCTGCGACGGCGCGTTACTGAAGCTAAGGAGAAGAAGAGGATTATATTATATATTATATATTATATTGAATTATATTATATTATATTATATTATATTATATTATATTATATATTAAACTATATTATATTATTCTATTTTATTTTATATTATATTGTATTACATTATATCATATATTATTGCAATATACTATGATTTTATATATATTGTTATGTGTGCGTTGTATGTTATTCTATGTATGTTAGATGTTTTATATTTATATATATATAATATTACTATATTCCATGATGTTACGGTATATTATAAAATATTGTATGATGTCATATTACAGCATATTACAATACGTCATTCGAGGTAATTCACTCATTCTCCCGGATTTCAATCGACTTCCACGAGCTAGACCAATTCTGTCTAAATAAGAGTATAGAACTTCCGTGGGGGAAACCCTACGCTGATTACTGGTCATTTTTTGAACTCCCTTCAAATGCTTCAATCCACTCTCATTTTTTTATTCTTGTTTGTTGGTCATGGTATCATTCCCAGTCTTCATTTAATTTTTTTGGTGAGCAGCGCCTAGTTCTTTTCTTTTCGAAACTAGCACTCGTACCCCAAACTGCTAGAAGCATCACAGCGTATCAAAAAAGGGGACATAATGAGAGATATGTAGCCGCGTGCTATGTCATTTGACCGCATTGGTTCTTGTTACTGCTTTTTGTCACATTCGTTCTCACTATTTAATCCTTAGTCGACTTTCCCATAGACATTTCCTCATCGTCTCCTACGTCATCATTCATGTTCTCATGAAAACCCTACTCTTAATAAATCGGTAGCGCGGAGATCACAACTGTGGGAACATTCCGTAAATAATTATGAGAAGCTGCTATCCCAATCATAGCGAGTGCAAACGCCATGTGCAGAGTTGCCATGATGATATTGTAAACATTTCCCTGAATGCCTCTCGGCCTCGAAGCTTCAAGTTCATTGGAAACATAATCAACTGAACCTTTCTGTATAAAACGATGTATGCAGTTGCAAAAACGTGGGGACTAAAGCGATCTTGCCATTAATTTCCCAATGGCACGAGAACCCTGTGATTTTTTTATTGGGGAACGGAGGGGTTGTTCTGATCATAGCGAAACCTTTTTTAGGTAATGAAGAGTGGGCAGCACGTTAATAATGAGACTTTCAGATGTAAACTGGCATGTTTCATTCACGTGGACAACGAAAATAGCTGATTTCGAAGCGGCACTTATCTTAGTAGCAGAAATTCTTGGACTTTTTTGATACGCTGACGTTAAGTGAAATTCATGTTAGGTAGCCGTCACAAACTACATCATTTAGGTCTTCAAAANCCTCGTTTCTTCTTTGAACCTTTACTGTGGAGATTAGTCTTTTTCCAATCGCACAGTGTACCATCAAAATGCTTGTAGGTCTATACCACAACTTGTAAACTCCATTCAGACCCTCCCGGCTCTTACTCTCCCTATTGAATGCACCTGGATGAATTGAAAGCTCGTATAGCTGTGGTGGTACTTGATCTGGTTCTGAATAGCTTTTCGCTAAGGTTTCCACTTGCTGATTCCTACAGAAACAATGCTTGGAGAATAGTATAGGCAGAGTCGCATAGTATCGCCTGCCTCTTGCTTACTATCTGTTTTGTTTGGAGGCTAAGATACTCCTCTTTACATTTACGTATATGAAAGCCTGAATAGACCACGACCCAATATTTCTTCGACGCTCATCTGATGAAGAATTGGTCTGGGCTCCATAAATAAGCTCTCAATATTAGACGGAACCTTATGCCTGTCTTCGTAGGTAATACCACAAATCCATGCTTCCATGCTGCAAAAAAAGTGAGACGCTTTTGAGGATCGAAGCAAACAACTAATAGCTCCATGCCTCCTCATTTCCCTCTTCTGCCTACTTCAAACGAAGCTAGCATGCGCTAATACGTTAGTTATTCCCGTGTGGCGATATGTTCCAGGATTTTTGCGCTTCCCAGGAATATCATAAGATTGACAATTGCTCATAGATCTAATTTGCCATACCATTGACCCTGTTCCATTTCGAGAAAGTTGTACCCTAAAAAGTTAGGATTTAACCCGCAATTCATTGTATTACTCTTCATGTCATGCACTCTAGTGAAATGAGCCAAATCCTCCGGGACTGACAAAAACACTTCATAAAGAGATAATCGCGATGGGCAGTTAACTAGTGATTGGAGCAAGAAAACTATCACTAATTAGTCCTACCTTAGTAGCTGACACTAATGCACATGCTACCGTTTAACTCTTCTTTATCTCCTGGCTCAATTGAAAATACTGTATAATTAATACAATATAATAATAATAATAATAATAATAATAATAATAAAATATAATACAAAGGCTTCAATAGCTTCAGGCAACTCAGAAGGTACATACTTCTCTCCGAAACTCGCATGGCGCTAGCCGCACCCCATCGCGCAGTCGAGTGCTGTGATGGGAAAGGTTCGAATCCTTAGTGGAAGAACATCTGAGATTCATTTCATTCCATTAGTAGCCGCGGAACCACAGCCGTTTGCTTTGAGAATTTGGGTAGAAGTAGTACCGTCACCCGATAGCTCATGTGCATGAGGAAACTCGTCCAGCGGTCAACGAGATGTGTCAAAGTGTCAATTCGCAAGACACTTCCTGCAACTTTTTGCGGCCTCAGTACTCTAAAAGCTCCTCGAGCATCTTTTATCTGAGATTCATTTCATTCCATTAGATGTGATAGCGCGGAGGAGTGCGACACCAGGAATGCCTGATTGATAGCTTGGCCTTTTCAAGCATACAAGGAAGGACCCTATGGGAGCAGCTCTCAGTTAAGTTGGATGCATCAGATACTTGCAGCTGTTACTTACTGCTATGGCATCAAAGATAACATTTTAAACTGTCAGCTAAAAAATCAAAAAAGTTAGCAGGGATTAAGTATCGTAGAGAACAAGGCTTAAGCTTAAGGTTTCTCTTGAGTGTAAAAAATTGAAAATAGTGTTAACAGCAACAAGGTTGATTTACTCAAGCATGCCTGGCGGAAAAAGTCTACTGCAGAGATGCTCCTTTAATCGTCTTAGCTTGATTCACTTTCTGATTTCTGAGAAAGAAAACTTACTGTAGACGTCATTGTGAGTTGCTCATTAATTATATCTAGTTACTGATCAGTTTATAATCTAGGCGTGAAGCCTACCATCACTGTGGATTATCACTGTCAGAACAATTTCTTCCATTGTTCCTCGAAACCCTGTAATGGTGCAGCCATGCAATGTTTAATCTTGGAAAGAACTTCTCAGAAGATAGCCATAGTCACTCTTGTTAATGGAAGACAGTATACCTCTTGTCAAGCAGAGTGCTTCTGCAAACTCGTTCTGATCACGCGTTATCACTACGTTTCAGAGTTGACAGCAAGTATATAAAGGGCATTATTCGCCCNTTACTGCCCCACTTTCTCGAGAATGGGCTGGATTTCTATCGAATTTTTTTCAAGATAAACCGACTAGAAACTTGCCTAAAGGGGTAAATTGACCCGTAGCACACGAATATCGCATCCATTCGTCATAAAAAGACCTGGCGCCTTGGTACGTTTTTTCTGCGCGACAATTACCATGGGACGTCGCTAGAGTGCGCGCCAAAACCGAAAGCGCGTTCCGGCGCCAAAATCAAATGGTGTGTTGTCAGACTCATGAATTTCTCATTTGCATCAAACATGGCTCTAAACGCTCTGCATCGCCATAATCGCATGATGGAGTGAAGGATTTCAAGTGGTTGGACTTGTTTGAAAAGCTGAAACTGAACGCGGGCAGCTTTCGAGCATGGTTACGGAGACAAGGACTACAAGCAGTTCCAGTGTGCCCATTATGCTCTAGAACATGAACATTCGACCTTTAGAAGATGCATGGATCTGCCATAAACGCGCTTGTAGGACGAATGAAGGAACGAAGCCATCCTTGTCTGTTCGGCACGGAAGCTTTTTTTGCAAACTCCAAACTTCCGGAGTTTACCATCTTTGCTGCCTACTTTTGGCTCCGTGAATTGGCGCGCAGCTCCACTTGGCGCCGGCGAATGTGGCGCGCTAGGCATCTTTGTGACCAGTGGATGCGATATTCGTGTTCTACGGGTCAAATTACCCCTCTAGGCAAGTTTTTAGTCGGTTTCATGTTCTTGAAATAAATTCGATAGAAATCCAGCCCATTCTCGAGAAAGTGGGGCAGTAAAGGGTAAATAGTGCCGTATAAAGCACCTAAGTGATGACGGTGATCTTTTTAACAATAGTATTTTCTTCCACAGGTTTTCTTGTTCTCTTTTCTAATTTACAGCGATCGTTATGCGAATTCTGCACAGAAGCTATATCATTACGTGCAAATCGTCAATTTCAATAATAAATACCATCTGTTTTAGCAGAAAAGAGACAACCAGACGGCTTGACAATTCTAAAAA